AAGGATGGTCTCTCTGATCAAAAGTGATCAAGGAGTCGACCAGCTAAGGAAAGAGGGGATGGCTGACTCGGCGGCGCATGCCTATCTGTAGCATACCTTGTGCTGGCGCTTGGAGTGGATGGTGTCGGATCCCCCAAAGATCATGAGGCATTCCTCGGGGTCGGGGAAGCCGTCTTCATCCTTGCCCACTGTAACGTCCCGCCTCCTCGAGGCCAGGCCCGCTTACATCGGATAGCTTTCCTAGGACATAGACTGCCCTCACAGACCAACACCAGTCTTTTCTGCGTACTTTGTCCTCACTCATGCGCCCCCGGGAAGAACTTCCCGGTCGGTCACCCACCGATCCAGGCCAAGCACGCTTAACCTTGGAGTTCTTAAGAGATGGGCTTCCAGAAAAGAAGTTGCAACTTGTTGGCACGAGTATCCTATTAATCCTATTAAGTCCTGAGCCGGGGTGTTACATCCTCACCCCCTTAGGAGACCGACGTCCTCGTCGGTCAACCCTAGGCCAGGAACGTCCCCTCTTGGCCACGTTGGTGTGTCCAGTGCCAGCGTATGTGCCATGCTAGGTGACCACTCTGGGTCCACACCAGCCATGCGCACCATGCCTGCGCAACTGACACACGTGCCCGTGAAACCGCAAGGGTCGTCTCTGATACCATTCTATAACGTCCCGCCTCCTCGAGGCCAGGTCCGCTTACATCGGATAGCTTTCCTAGGATATAGACTGCCCTCACAGACCAACACCAGTCTTTTCTGCGTACTTTGTCCTCACTCATGCGCCCCCGGGAAGAACTTCCTGGTCGGTCACCCATCGCTCTAGGCCAAGCACGCTTAACCTTGGAGTTCTTAAGAGATGGGCTTCCAGAAAAGAAGTTGCAACTTGTTGGTACGAGTATCCTATTAATCCTATTAAGCCCTGAGCCGGGGTGTTACACCCACCATGCCTCCTTTCATAGCCGCCTCCTCCTTGCCTTTTCCTTCCTTTGGCTTGGCGGCTTGCCGCAGGAAGCGCATGAGGAGCTCGCAGTTCTTGCAGAGGTGTTTGACGGGATAGGCGTGGTTGGTGCATGGACTCCCCATGAGCTTGTAGAAGTGGTCGGGCTAGCCCTACTGGGGCTGCTTGCCCACGCGGTCGGCCGCGGCGACCAAAGCTGGGTCGGCCAGTCGGCACCGATCATTCTTGTTCTTCTTGCCCTTTTGTGTGGAGGGGCCCTCACCTTGGTCCTCGTGCTTGGCCTTGCCCCTATCCCGACCACCGCTAAAGACCGCCCCGACCGCCTCTTTGCTAGAGGCGTGGTTCGTGGCGATGTCGAGTAGGTCACGGGTGGTACGAGGCTTTACACATCTAAGCTTGTGGATCAGGGACTTGCAAGTTGTCCTAGAGGGGAACACGCTGACGATGTCCGCGTCGACGACATCAGGAAGGAAGTTGCACTACTTTGAGAACCTACGGATGTAATCCCACAGGGACTCATTAAGCTCCTACTGGCAGCTCTTGAGGTCCTAGGAATTCTCAGGATGGACATACATCCCCTAGAAATTTCCAACGAAGACCTCTTGAGATTCGCCCAGTAGTGGATGCTGTCGGGTGGAAGGAATTCGAGCCATGCTCGAACATGCTCCCCCATGCAGATGGGGAGGTACTAGATGATGAAGTAGTCATCATCCACTCCTCGGCTCGGCAGACGAGCTAGAAGTCTTCGAGCCATATACCGGGGTTCGTCTCCCCGGTGTACCTAGCGATGTTGGTGGGCGGTCGGAAGCGCCGTGGGAACAGCACTTTCTGGATGCGGTGACCAAAGGCCCGTGGCCCTGGGCCGTCCAAGCTGGGGCTCCGGTCATTCGGTCGGCCGCCATGCTTGGGGTGCATGTCCTCGCACTCCTCGATGGTTAGGCCGGGGCCCACGCCACCTGCTCTCGCCGTCATTCGATGGGTGTCATCACCGTGCCTGGCGTGGCGTCGATGGTTGATGACGCTGCGAGCGTCATGGTTTGGCCCGAGCCATTTGCGCACAGGTGGTCGGTGTGGAGCGGGCACCGGGTTGGGCGGCGGCGTAGCCGTGGCCTCCTGCTCCACGCCCGACAACTGTTGTGGTGAGTGGACTGAGTGATTCGACTGGTGCAGCCCTAGTCCCCCGCCTGGGCAAGAGGCCGTGTGCTGATGTCGCGACACATAACTTTACGCCTACTGAACGGCGACGGTCTCCACCAGCGCGTGGAGATTCCGGTGGATCGCCTGCTCCTAGGGGTCGGCAGGCTCGGGGAGGCCATGCAGAAGCATCATCGCAGTAGCGATGTTCTTGCCAGCCCGAGCAAACTGAGGAGGATCATCCCTCCATCCAGGATGTTACGCTGGACCTGACGGGCATGACCCCGAGTGTCGCTCGCCAGGTTATGCGCATGTGGCGCAGCGTGATGCGTCGGGCACGCCGACGTAGGCGACGGCTGGCTCTACCGCCTTTGTCGTAACTCCTCGCCGTGCTCCTACGCATGTGTCAGGGCCTGCGCACGGGGGTCCAGAGGGGTGTGAGTCTGTAGAGACTCCACTACCTCCGGCGGTTGTCCTAGGGCGTCCGCCATAGCACACTCTCGGGACACAGGGTGGCTAGGTGCCATGATTTCACCGATGCTGGAGCCGTCGCTTTTGACCTCATCATCGATGAGATCGTGGAAGGAGGTGGGAGCGTAGCCCACCATCCCCACGAACTCGGATATGAGAGGGGGCGGTGTCAACATCCTTCGGTGCCCTTGTGCGCACGCGTCCACAGGGGACGCGAAGCCGTAGGGGGACCGGTCGCATGGCGGTCATGGTGGGGACAATGGGGTCCCTCCGGAGAGTTGGCGGAAGGTGTTAAATAGTGAGTAAAGAACAATATGTACATCACTCACCGTGGAGTTTGAGCCTAGCATGGGCTCGAGGCGAAGCGCGGGTGTCTCGACGTTGAGGTCATCGAGTGGTCCGGGGCCGGTGGAGGGCGCTCCTCTTCCAGTGGGCATCGGGACAAGCGCCTCCTCACGGAGGCGGAGTACGCCGAGCTGGTCGGCGACGAAGTCTAGACTCTCGAAGAGGAGGGTCTGGAGTGGCACGAAGATGGGAGGAGCCCACTTCCCAGCAAGTGGGAGCGTGGGAAACTCCAACGAGCCGAAGTGAATCGTATCGCTCGAGCCCGCCATGCCGAAGATGGTGGAAAGGTGGGCCATCCGATGACCAAAAGCGTGAACGCACGGCGTCCCTCCCCACGGATGGCGTCAACTATCGGTGCGGAATGTGGCCGATAAGTAAATATTTGTAGTTTTACCATGGCTGTGATCGGATGTGGCCTAGCATGCGATGGCACAAGATTTATACTAGTTCGGGCAACATGCCCTACATCCAGTTTTAGTCGGTCGGTGACTTTATTCCTGAGCCCAAGTGCTTGAAGTTTGCTGTGGGGTCACAAACGAGTAAGGAATGAGAAGGAGATGTCAGAGGCTCGGTCGGACTCTGAACCGAGTGGAAGAGAGTGACGGATGCTCAAACGTGCACTAAGTATTGGAGCGTATGCTCTATATGCCCGAGCTTATCAGCTATTGAGAGCGTGTAGACTGTGTAGCTGTCGAGCTCTAGAGCTGTTGAGCTATTGAGCCGTTAAGCTGTTATGCTCAAAGGAGAGAGCGCATCCTCTTTTATAGATGAAGGGGATGTCCTTATAAGTCAAAGACGGAAAGGGAGAGAGTGTGTATGGGTGCTCCCTAGTCTTATTGCCCACGCCGTCGGGTATGGCACGTCATCGCCCACCTTACTGTTTATGACCTACGGTACCTGGCATGCTGCACAGTGTTCGCACACCTTACTGTTCATGACCTGGCAGGCTACACAACGTCCGCCCACCTTACTGTTCATGACCTGGTAGGCTGCACAGTGTTTGCCTGGGACGGCAAACGACGACGCCCACAATACTGTTTGTGCTCTGCCGCGTCTAGCATGCTGTATAGTGTCCGTCTGACATAGCCTGACGGCACTGTCTTGCAGGTGCGCAGGGCATGGCAGGGTACGGTCCTTGGTATTGCGGTTGACTTGAGCGCCTTACCTTATCTGCTCCGCCTGCTCCCCGGGCCCACACCGAGCAGGCGTCCTGGTCGGTCGTTCCAGTCGGCCCCGACCGTGTCGGTCAGGAAAGAGAGGCGAGCGAAAGTCCAGCATATCCTAGGTCGGAGGAACGGGGTCGGAGTCGGACTGCGGTCCCACCTCGGCCAAGGCTTCCGGTCGGGGCTCCGACCAGGTCTCTTGGCCGGAGGTGTCAGTCGGGGACCAGATCGTGGTCTCGGCCTGTTATTGTGTATCTAGGTCGGCTCAGACACGCGTTGTCGCTGCGCTGCCTGTTAAGTCAAGTATTGTAGGAAAGCGGGTCTATTGGGGACCCCGGTTTATGAACCCGATAGTATTAGAATGAAATTACATGGAACAAGATGTGAACAGATTGACCGCAAGATCGTTACAGCAGAGAAAATGCTCCACGAGAACCTTTTAAGTTAAAGCGTAGAGCTATTCAGTTAACAAATACAAAAAAGCAACTTATCAGTCAAACAAGCAGCAACGCTACTCCAGGCCCTACTAGACAGAAACAAAGGCTTTTATTGTCAAAGGCTAGTGATCAGTATACTGCTTCAAAATGGCTTTCACCTAGATCTAGTAGAGAAAGGAAGCGGTATACTCATCTGCTTTCACTTGACAGAAAATTAAACAATTCGCTACACCAAAATGAAATCCATTTCTGAAGACCTGCTTGGTATTTTTTACAAGTAGCCTAAGAGACAATTCAAAACGACATAATGCAGAAATGAGCTCCAATAAGTATATTTGCAAATTAATTGTTTTGGATTGTATGGCCTATCTATCAATCAATAAGGTAAGTAAAAAGGCATTTTCTCTTTATCTACCTAATGTGCTATTGTCTCAGGGCACAATTGAATACTACATACAGCAAACATAAACTACACAAAGTGTACATACTTGATCATATGTGGTTGGTCTTCTTCCCTTTGAACCCAGCATGGGGGAAGTTGAAAATAACCCTGTCAAACCGCCTCATCTTGAGATCAGTGTGTAGCTTCATCGTTTTTGCATTGACTCCATGCAAAGTTACCGCCCCCATTTTTTTCAGTTCTGTCAAATTGGATTCTGCTCCGCTGTACTTCTTCTTCAGGGTGTCTGTACAAAATCATTTGAAAATAAGTGGAAATTTAATAAATAAAAAAATCGCCCCATCAGAGTAATCTATGAAATGTCTGCATTATTCATATCAGGCTATGCATAAGACCCAACAATATCAATAGTTAGCAATCAGGAAACATGGTATGGCAATAGTTCTGCAAAAAAGCCTAACACTCATGTACATCTCATGGGCTCATGGGTCATGGCAACAGCCAACAATGCAACATCGCTGATAATGACTAATGAGTACCGAAATTGTCTGCTCGTTCACGAGTATATGAGAAATTAGACGAATGAAAGCAAACCGTAGGAGTCGAGAGAAGTGGCGACGAGGTTGGCGCCGAGCCGAAGCCGGTGGCGAGCGCCAAGGAGAAGAAGTCGCCATCGCCGACAAGCAGGATGCTCTGGGTCGACGAATACTGCCCCACCCACGTGACCTCCTCCTCTCCTCATCATCATCATCATCATCGCTGCTCTCCTCCGTGAGGTCGATCATCACCGGGACGCCCTCCGCGCGTGGGCCATCAACACCTTGAGCTTCCTTCTCATCCTCGCCCTCCTCCTCTGTCTGCGCTGTCAAATCGATCTGGGACTCCCTCCGTGCGTAGGCCGTACTGTGATCTTTCTTCTGCTCCTCCTCCTCTGTCACCGCCGTCAAGTCGATCACCAGGACTCCCTCCGCGCGTGGGGCCATCGAGCCGACCACCAAGACACCCTCCGCCGGGTACCCCTGCTGACTCCCATTGGCGGCGGTCGCGGCGACGCCCGCAGGCAGCGGGATTCCCTCCCCGTTCCCACCAGCGGCCGCTTCGGTGGCCACCGCCATGCGTGCGCCTCCTCCGCTGCGCTCTTCGCCGGCGATCAGGTGAGGTGACAGCCTGACAGGTGGAGGTGGTCTCTCTCGCTTGATTACGTCTGCGTGCCTGCCCTGGGTTTTTTGAATTTTAAATTTCAAACGGTTGCGAGGTGCCAGGAGTAGTTGCTGCCTTATTGGGCCGGGCTTCTATCGATACGCATTGGGTTTTTGGGGTCCTTCAGTCTGCCAAGAAAGGCAGCCATATTGATGAGCAGAAAGGCAGTGAAGCCATGCAACGGATACCTGGTTTGGGTGGTTTTCCCATATACTCCCTCCGTACTCAAAGAATAAAGTCGTTTTTGACAGCGATACGGTCTCCAAAATACAACTTTAACTTTTTATTTTTATAAAAATGTTTATCGAAAAGTGATATATGTATATTTTTATGAAAGTATTTTTCAAGACAAATCTATTCGTATGATTTTCACATTTCTAAACTCAACCACTTAAAAGTTATTCATGATTTATATTCTCAACGTTTGACCCAAGCCTTGTCCAAAATGACTTTATTTTTAAGTACGGAGGGAGTAGGCCGCAGCTGATCACCGAGACAACAACGTGAATCCCCAAATTCTTTAATGTCGGAGGCAACCAAATTATTCGACATCTTTTTTTATTTTCATTGAGATTTTTTAAGTATCATTTAATTTGCGCTTAGTTTGTTCATTGGCTTAAGTTAGGGAATTGCTATTATATCCCATATGCCTGAATTTCACGCAATAATCTTATAGAATCTTAGGTTTGAGGAATGTGTTAGTCATCATCTTCTTACTCCTTTTTTGTTTGATTTATAAAATAAAATAGGTTGATTCATAGTCACCTCATTTCTCACAAAGCTAATAATTAGTATTAATATAAGGAATATATTCATTTCACCAAATTTGAAGAATCATGATGCGTTATTTCATCTAAAATGGTTTGATTCTTCAAACCAAACACTTTATTAGAGAACTAACTAGTATAATTGAAAGGACAACTTACAAAACAATAATTCATAATTTTTTCTATAGTCAAACAATGACCAAAATACATACTATCTAAACAATAACAAAAAAAATAGGCATTTGAAATATATGAGAAGTGTTTTATGTTAAGGGTGGGTGTAATATTATATACTACTAGAAATTCAGAGGAGAAATGTATGTATCCTTTTTTTAAGATAATGGAATGACGTTCCAACCTCCACATCGTTTGACGATATATACAACTGAGAAATGTATGTATTCTTTGGCTCAACATTTGGTTTATCCGTGGGTCTTATTTAGAGGAGACTAGTTTCTGGCTTAGTCAGGGTGTCTCTAATAATATAAGCTAGCATTAGCTTTAAACTGATAAATATGAAGGAGATAGATTATAATAAACAGTTTTGAACATCGTGTTGTGTGAGAGAAATATACGGTAAATGTATGAAACTATCTCTTTAGTCCATGCTAATCTCTCGCTTTTTGTACTATTCAATGATTAAAATTGATTTGGGTACCTCTAAGCTAGATTATTGGAAAAGCCTCTACAGTAAAAAAAGACCAGAAGGACATGGTGACTTTTGTATGCCATGCGCTGGAGTCAAATAAAATTATGTTGATTTATTCTTTACCATGTGTTTGAGGTTCGTACTTCGTAGCGTTAGCTATTTTTTAAAATAAACTGTGAAAAAACTGAACTGAAGAGAAGAAGACGTCAGATTTTTTCCCTTATCTACGGACTACGGATAGGGGTGCAATCTTGCAAGTTGCAACTATGCAAGCGACGCTAAAGTCGTCGTCTGCTGAATGCCTGAATTTCCCAGCATTTGCACTTTTCCAGAGCCCAAACGCGGGCGGGCCATCGATGCCTAGTGGGCCTAGACCTCAGGCGGACGCGGAGAAGCCCCTTTCCGGCTACGCGTCGCGAATCGGGTTTTTTTTTTTTTTTAAGTTCGCGAATCGGTTCTGACTTTGGCAACCCAACCGTTTCGACACTTGACACGAGTCCTCACTCCACACCAGCACACCACTTCGCCTCCGTCGGCGGCGGCGACGGACACGACGGCACGAGCGCGCATGGCAGTGGCGGTGGCCGCGCCGGTGGTGATCGGGCTAGATGCAGAGGTGGGAAGCGGCGGGGACGGGGGCGATGCGCAATTGGAGGTGCCGCCGGTCGAGGTCGTCAGGAAGGGGGCACCGCTGGTGGAGGGGATACCGGTGGCGGTCACCGCCGGAGGGGACGATACGGAGAAGGAAGTGAAGGGAGAGAAGGGAGTGAACCCGGTGAAGTGGCTGGGGCTTTACTCCTCTGCGCAGACCATTCTCATCGTCGGAGACGGAGACGGAGACTTCTCCTTCTCGCTGGCGCTCGCCACCGCATTCGGCTCCGGTGCCAACCTCGTCGCGACGTCCCTCGACACCTATGGTTTGTCTACTGCGATCGCTTCCGCTTCCTGTTGCGGCGGGTAAAGTAAAATTTGCCTTCGCTATTGCGTACGAGATACGACTGGCACTAGAAGTTTATGGTTGATCCCATTTTTGGCTTTTTGCACCTCTGGTATGAGAAATAAATGGAACCATGGATGGATGGATGCATTCGATACTATGATCTGCTAGATTTGATGATTGTGATAGGATCTAGTTTTGTTGGTTAAATGAGGATTCTAACATTTCCACTTCATTACTACGTTTTAAGCAAAAAAATATTTGTGTCACGTATGAAAAAATGATAAGAGTGATCCAAGCAGCTGGTTACCAGTTGGATGAAAAATAAACTTAAATGAACCTGCGAGAACATTAATATTTAGCAAAAGGGGGAAAATTAAGGCACCACAATAAGCGACACAATAATTTTTTCCTGATTCAACTGTACATAATCACCACAGTTTGCCTTTAGGACAAATTTTCAGCATTCAATAGTCTCTAGTATTGTATTTCCTTCATCCTAACTTTGTATTTGGGTCCATATGCATTGTTGATGCTGTCTTTACCTTTGCAAGCTCAAAAGCATACTGTGGTTTTTGTTTTCTTGTTCATCGCGCGGCTTATCTACATTTTCTGCATTTCTTGTGGGAAATCCTCATTTGCAGAGGTTCTGAAGCGTAAGTACAGCAAAGCAGAGTCAAATATTACGGAGCTGAAAAGATTGGGCACCACGGTTTTGCATGCTGTTGATGCGAAAAACATGATGTTTTTCACACTGACTTGAAGAACAGACGATTTGATCGCATTGTCTTTAATTTTCCTCATGGTGGCTTCAAAGGAAAAGAGGACGACTTGCATATGATCAAGTATGTGCACTATCTCATCATGTTATTTGGCAGCTAACATTAATTAAACTCTGTATTAGGCTTAATAGTCATTCATGATCTTGATATGGATCAGTTCATTATTTATCTTACTGAGCTCCTGAAGTCCAGAGTTGATTGAATATTTCTAAGGCTACATTTGCATACAAAGGGTTATCTCTTCTGTATTGATAACCTACGCAGAAATGACATTGGTAGAATCTCAGTGAAAATTTGAAAATGTATCATTTTCATCCTAAACAGCGTACACCACTGCTAAACTTGTCTCTCAAAATGAACTATATCTCTTTGTAAGTACATTAAGAATAAGTAGCATCTATGTTACCTCAATAATGCGCAGAGTGGGAGCTCTCTGCACTGGGTACGTCCTTTTTTTTATGTTACCTCAATAATAAGTTGAAAGCTCTTTTTTTTTTGAAACAAAAGGCCGGAGCTCTGCCGCTCAATTAAGACGAAAGAAAGTAATAATTTACAAGAAGGTTAGCCAACCGAGTAACCAAAATGGCACCCGAGGGGCTAACCACCCCACGCGACGCGATTGAGCACAAACACGACACACTGCCATGGATCATCGTTGCCGAGCATGGAAGCAAAGCTGCCAGCAGCTTGGACTTCCCATGACAGGCCACCCACTGGTCACCTCCGGACGGGTCCAAAGGAACGACCGCCACCGGTCATCGTTGCCAAGCTCAACCCACGAAGAGCAGCTCCGACTTCCAGTCGCAAACTCATGCCTCGCATCGAGGCCGTGGCGATGATCCAGATGCGATGCCTTCAGGAAGGGAGCGACGCCGATGGCGCCACCGTCGCACGTCCAAAGTGGATGGGGTTTTCACCCTTGGATGACAAGCTAGAGGGGAACACGACGCCCCCAATAGGGAAGCGGCGCCCAGTGGCGTCGCCGTCGCCAAGGCTTTCGCCCAAGAACCCTCTAGCACGAACACCGGGTCGCGAAGCCAGACCCCCTGCCAGCCAACACCACCATCGTCGCTGTCCCGCCACCCCACGGAAGCCCCTTCAGAGGGGCGTCGACGCGCCGGCTGCACGCAACAGCCGCACAACTGCGTCGGCCGTCACCCCCTCCGTCCGGGCCACGCATAGCCGAACCTGGCTCCGCCGCTCGCGTCCCAGTGCCGCATGACGAGGCCGCCACTGACCATCTTCGTCGGCCCAGGCACCCGCCGATGTCGCAGCCGACCTCGCCGCCAGCCGCAACAGGGCATGTGCCCCACCGTCTCGGGCGTCGCCCCCTGCCCTGGGACCGCCGGATCCGGACACCAGGCCCCGAACCCGGCGCCCCATGCCGCCACCGCCGCCTCCGTCTTGATCACAACCGCAGGCACCGCCCGTCGCCGGCCCCGAAGCCGAACTGGCCACCTGAAGTCCAGATCCGGCCCCCCGGGCACCGGATCTTACCTCACGTGGCCCGGACCGGCGGCCCCAGCAGTCGCCGCCGTCGCCGTCAAGAGAGGAGGAGGGGAACGCGCGGAGGAGAAGGAGCGCCCGCCGCCGTCCCCTGCGCCAGCTCGGGCACTAGCCGGCGCCGCCATAGTCGCGACGGCCCTCCCCGCTGAGCTCCATGCAGCTCACGCGAGGGGAGGGGCCGTCGGCCTGCTGCCGCACGCGCCGCCGAGAGAGAGGAGAAAGGCCCCGTCGCCGCCATCCCTGCCGGCCGGGCGGCCATGCCGGCGGCCAGCTCCGGCGGCGGCGCGGCGGGGGGAGGGGAGGGGAGGGGCTGCTAGGGTTTGGGGGGAGGAGCCGCCCGAGCCGCTCGCGTGGGAGCGATGCGGGGGAGGTTGGATCCTACTGCCCTAACCAGTTGAAAGCTCTTACATGTCTTCAATGGCCCATTGGCTAGAATATATTTTGTTTTTAGGTCCTATGATGATTCAGTCAAAAAATTCAATAATACAACCTTGATGCAAGAACTAAGATCATTATTTTGTTGCCTTTGTGGATATAACTTTATTTCAAGCACTTATAGCAGTATTTGTAATATTTTGGTATAAGCTTTTTCCGGACATATATGAAATAAAGATGGTTCCACTTTGCATGTCAGTGGTCGTAAAATAGTAGCTGATGTTTCTTAGTGCTGCTAAACAATACAGAAACCCAATCGGAATCTACAACACTGTTATTTTACGGCCTTTGTTTTCATAGTTAAACTATTGTTAACCATATGCTGCGACTTCCAGCTCGCACAAGGAGTTGGTGTTGGGTTTTTTCCGCAATGCACACCACCTTGTTCGGCCACTTGGTGAAGCCCATGTTACCCACAAGACCGGGGAACCGTACGACAGTTGGGATCTTAAGCACCTGGCCACTGATTCTTCTCTTGCTATGGTTGACAAAGTTCCTTTTCGAAAGGAAGACTACCCAGGTTATAACCAAAAGAGAGGAGACAGTAACAGGTCTGACGAACCTTTTGATCTTGGTGCATGTTGCACATTCAGGTTCCGAATCTGGAACTTGAAGGAGCTGAAGCAAATGAATAGGAAGAGGTCTGGTTTAATCCCAAACATTGGAGGCAGCAACGTTCATCCAGGCCATTGGGTAACTGACAGGGGGGCATTTCATCTAGTTGCACCTGTTGAAGCATGGCCTTGGCATCATTTTCCTCCGCCAGCTCACATGTACAGGCCGCATGCTGATGCCTCCGCAGCCGTACATAGTTGATCAATGGCAACAACCAGGCTTTCCACTGAACTCTAATGGCATGGCGGCTGGACCTTATTTGCATAAACAGGAGAGTTGCCATCCAATGGTGAGCATGCCAGGCCCATGGTTGAATGATTTGCCCGCTCAAGGTGGCATTCCTCCACCTCTACCAATGGGCAGAATCCCATTTCCTGATCTCCTTGCACCTCGGGAGTAAAAGCAACCAGGTATGTTTAGGAAGCGTTCTCACCTCTACAGAGGCCGCGTAGCTTTGTTAATATATGCAGAGAAGAGCCCTCTGCATGGCGTACAAATCACCAACCGAAATCAAGGAGATGCCGGTATTATACCTTTCTATTTTTACAACAACCATATCTGGACTTTCCTATCTTCACAACCCAGGAACTTTCTACACAATTCTACACATCGGGACTCCATGATTTCGGTTGGTTTGTTTCCATACAAAGCATATGTTACAATATTATCTAACAGCCCCCCTCAATCATAACTTTACTAAGTTAAGATTGCGTCTGAAATTATGCAGTTTTTCTCTTGTAAGAGCCTTGGTGAATCCATCAGCAACTTGATCATGTGTTGATATAAACCGAACCTGCAGAAGTTTCCGAGCCACACGTTCTCTCACAAAATGAAAATCAATTTCAATATGTTTTGTACGAGCATGAAACACAGGATTCGCTGTGAGATAAGTGGCCCCTAAATTATCACACCATAACCTTGCTGTAGGTGGCGTTGGAACTTTTAGTTCCTTAAGAAGTGATTGCACCCAGATAACTTCTGCTGTTGCATTGGCTAGAGCTTTATATTCAGCTTCTGTACTTGACCTTGACACAGTGGCTTGTTTTCTTGCACTCCATGATACAAGATTACTGCCAACGAAAATTGCAAATCCTCCTGTTGATCTTCTATCATCAATGTCTCCTGCCCAGTCTGCGTCAGAGAAGGCACTCACAAGCATAGATCGGCACTTGTTTATGCTCATGCCAATATCACACGTGAGTTTTACATATCTAAGAATCCTTTTGACTGCAGACCAGTGAGCTGTAGTAGGACAATGTAAGCCCGCGGACTACTGTTAATTCGAAAAGAAATATCTGGCGAGTTAAGGTCAAATCTTGTAATGCCCCAACTACACTTCTATATCGTGTAGCATCTTCAGGTCCAAGAGGTTCACCTTCCTCAATGCTTAATTTTTCAGCAACCGATAGAGGTGTAGCCATGGGTTTGCAGTGAGTCATGCCAACCCGTTTAAGAATATCTGAAGCATATTTACTTTGTGATAAATGAATACCATCACGTACCTTATTCACCTCTATACCAAGGAAGTAATGTAATGTACCTAAATCCTTTAGAGCGAAATCTGACTTGAGATCCTTCAGCAATGCTGACACTGCTTCTGAGGAAGAGCTGACTACTATAATGTCATCTACATAAACCAACAAGAAGATGCTAACATTGCCTTTATTAAGTATGAACAATGAAGTGTCGGCCTTAGAGGGGCAGAAACCAAGTTGCTGCAGTTTATCACTCAACCTTGAGTACCAAGCTCTGGGGGCCTGTTTCAGACCATATATTGCTTTATCCAACTTGCATACATGATGTGGGAATTTACTATCTTCATAACCTGGTGGTTGTCTCATGTAGACATCCTCCTCAAGAACACCATGAAGAAAGCGCGTTCTTTACATCTAGCGCCTAAGACACCGACCTCTAGACACCGCTATAGAAAGCACCACCGATAGTAGCAGCTTTGACAACGGGCTAAAAGTATCCTCATAATCTATCCCATATCTCTGTTTAAATCCCTTTGCTACCAATCGAGCCTTATATCTGTCTATGCTGCCATCTGCCTTTCTTTTAATTTTGTATACCCATTTGTAATCGATAAGATTTTTTCCTTCCTGTGCTGGTACTAAATGCCATGTTTTGTTATCTTGCAAGGCACTAAATTCCTCATCCATAGCATGTTTCCAATTTTTATTACCAAGAGCTTTAGATAAATCATGTGGTTCATTACCAACCGCTAAGCATCCATAGCCATACCTTATAGTGCCATCTGTATGCTTTTGGTTTTTTCGATCCGGTTGGTCCGGCGTGGAAGATTTGTTGCTGCAGCATTATCTGATACAGAAGACCCAGTGCCAGGGACATCCTGATGTGGATCCATCTCGGTTGACGATGGGCCAGTGGGCTCCTGACCCGTGTCCGCTGTTGGCCCACCATCGGACGAAGTCGACGGGCCGCCATCATTGCGTAATGATGATGCGCTGGCAAGACTGGGATCGTGCACGATCTTGGCTCCAAGATTTCTGTGCACAAGCACCATGCTTTTCTTCCAAAAAGTATCATTAGGTGCAGAATTTTGGGTATTTTGAATATCGAGGCAACAATGAATCAGCTACATTAGTATCCCGGATGATTCATGGTGGACCTGGAAGGAAACAAGTGAGGAAGGAGATTGACTTCAGCCAGCCCGTAAACAATGCCAGCATTGGGATGGAACTCACGGAAAGGAAAAACTCCTTCATCAAATATGACGTCTCTTGATATGTAGACGCGTCCTGTACTAACATCAAGGCATTTGTAGCCTTTATGAGATGAACTATAGCCCAAGAAGACACATCGTTTGGAACGAAAAGCAAGTTTATGAGTGTTATAAGGACGAAGGTTGGGCCAACATGCACAGCCAAATACTCGAAGGAACTTATAGTCGGGTTTCTTATGAAAGAGACGCTCGTAGGGTGTCATGAAGTCAATGACTTTGGATGGGGTTCGATTAATAAGATATGCTGCCGTGGCAAAAACTTCATCCTAGAATTTTAAAGGCATAGATGCATGTGCAAGCAAGGCTAGACCAACCTCAACAATGTGCCTGTGTTTTCGTTCAGCTGGGCCGTTTTGTTGGTGTGCATGAGGACACGATACTAGGTGTGCTACTCCAATTTTTGTGAAGAAGGAGCTGAGTTTTTGGTACTCTCCACCCCAATCATGCTGTCAGACAAAGAATAATTTTGTCAAAATTCGTTCAACCATATTTTGGAAGTCATGATGAAAAACTTCAGATTTAAAACGAAGCAAATAGACCTGGTGAACTTACTATAATCATCGATGAAAGAAACATAGTATTTATTTCGCCTACCGAATCTATGGCAGGACCCCATACATCAGAAAAAATGAGTTCTAGTGGCTTGGATGAAGCACTAGTGGACACAGGATACGGAAGCTGATGGCTCTTTGCCTGTTGACATGCATCACAGACGGAGCCTTTATTTGACTCAACTAAAAAGGGCAAATTATTGCTACTAACGACTTTCTTAACTATCTCAGATGAGGGATGACCAAGACGATAGTGCCACAAGTCAGGAGACGATCTGGTGGCACCAAGAGCTTTTTTGATGACTTTCGGTATGGGGTAGAGACCGTTTCTACACCGGCCTTCAAACAGCGTCCTCTTGGTAGCTTGATCCTTAACAAGAAAATGATTCGGATAAAATTCAAGGTATGCATGATTATCAGAAGTAAGACGGTGCACAGATATAAGAGAGCAGCAGGAACATGAAGAACACGATTAAGTTTCAAATTGGAATTAGGGGTACTAATAATAGCATGACCAATGTGACTGATATTCATACCTGCACCGTTTGCTGCACGGATTTGATCTTTTCCCTTGTACTTCTCCTTCATGGAGAGCTTCTCGAGCTCTCCGGTGGATGTGGTCGGTGGTTGTATCGATATACCGTTTGTGTCCACTCCATATGAATGTGTCGCGGCCGATGCCGATGCACTCCTCGATTGGGATAAGACTCCTCATCGAGCCTGTACATCAAAGCATTCCAGGCGGTGTGGCGATCTTGTCAGGGGCACTTGTGGTTTGTCGTCGCCAGAGTAGCTTTGTTGTTGAAGTACCCGCGGCCGGTGCCACGTCCTCTGGTGTACACGAGCCAGCCACCACGATCCGAGCGGTTGAGCCACCACCACGGCCTTTCGATTGCCGCGACCGCGGTTATTGCCGCCTCCACGGCGCGTTTGGCCATGTTGGCGAGATCCTTGCGATCCGCCATGCGATGAGATCCAATCGTGCTCAAAGCTCGGCGGTGAGAGACCAATTCACCCACCGAGATAGACTGGTGCGCGCTTCCCCGCCGCCACGATTGGATTGAACTCCTCATCAAGGCGGCCGTGAGATAAGAAACCAGCTCTTCATCATCAACTTTCTTTCCGGCCGAGGCCATATCATCCGCCGGGGACTTTATTTTTGCAACATACTCCGTAATGCGGACATGTTACCTTTATGGTCGTTGCAAGTGCGATCCTCGTGTTGACGGTCCTCAAGACGTGAGGCGATGTACATACATCCGCACAAGTTCTCCATACACCTCTTGCGGTGTTTGAGTGTGGCCACTTGGGCCATCACCTCCCCGTGACAATGACGTCATCGGGAACCCAAGCACCTGCAATGGCATGATCGGGGTTGGGCACCTTCTTGACCTTCTCTCCATCCTTGGCTTTCTCTCCATCCTTGGCTTCAAGTTCTGCAGGTGGAGGAGTGTCGGTGCCCGCCGAGATAGCCTCGCAAGGCGGCAGTATGGGCGGGACCCTGCGCCCTCCATAGAGGGAAGTTGGTCTTGGTCAATTTTTCGGTGATGACCTGACCGAACAATGGAGACGCTTGACGTTGAGCGCCGAGGAGCTCGCCATGACGACGGGCAAGACTCAGGCGACGCTAGATGTATTTTTGTGGGAGTTTGCTCTGATTACCATAAAAGCAACCAGGTATGTTTAGGAAGCGTTCTCACCTCTACAGAGGCCGCGTAGCTTTGTTAATATATGCAGAGAAGAGCCCTCTCGCAATGTACAAATCACCAACCGAAATCAAGGAGATGCCGGTATTATACCTTTCTATTTTTACAACAACCATATCTGGACTTTCCTATCTTCACAACCCAGGAACTTTCTACACAATTCTACACATCGGGACTCCATGATTTCGGTTGGTTTGTTTCCATACAAAGCATATGTTACAATATTATCTAACAGGGAGCAGCCTTGGTATCAGCAGAGAACTATTCCTGGTCAGCTAGGAGTCCATAACTACTTTGCCCGGGAACACCAAATGAGTCTGCAAAGGGAGTATGAAATGCAGAGGCAAGTCATTCCCAGAGCAACCGGCTTGACCCGTAACGCCTTCTTGGAACATCC